CTCGAAATCTCGCTGGCATTTTACCCTCTTCGTCCTTCTTTCAAGACGTTCCGCTCTCTTGGCATGGCTCTTGTTCCTTTCTCGAGACGTGCACCGAATTGTCCGGTTTTGGACGTTGCTTTTGAAGACGGAGGAAATTTAAGGACAGATGGAAAGTCTAAGGAGAGAGGGTATGAGAAGCGAATTTGACCATACGTGCCAGCCGGAATACAGTTCAGAGATAAGAGATAAACAACGGCTGGGAAAAGAACTAGTTTTCCCGGGCAACCAGTCACGTTCGACGTTTGTCTACGACATAGAACGAGATATTTGTTTCCCTTTCAAAGAGAAGCACGTTCTCTACACACTCCATACTGTATAATACTCCTTTCCCTGGGTAACTTTTATGATTTGTTTGCAACAGAAAATATTTAAAAATCTTATACGAAGTGATACTAGAGCCGAGTAAAGTATAATTTTATCCGAATAAATGCAGATTCCTTCAAAGTGGGAAAATAGGTAACGCATGAATTGTCCGAGGAAACAGGACTGTCATATTGCGATTTCCCGTTTACAGGGGATGAAAAATGACTCCTTTTCCGTAATGTCAAATGTCGGAAACAGTGGTTGAGACCTGGACAAGCGTCCATACCGCAAGCGAAACCGAACTGGTAACAGAGGGTCTTGCTTAGTGTTTGGAGGGATATGCAAGGAATAATTCATTTTGAACTCCTAGGGTCTAACCGAACGATCACCCTGAGATTTATTATCAGCAATTGGAACTATCGGTGATGGCACTAATGTTCCTATATAATAGAAAATCTACTTTTTCTGATCAAATAAAAATAATAATAATATTTATAGTTAACAGAGAGAATGAATGTAAAAATGTAAATTAAAGAAGAGCTTGCAAAATTTAAAGAGATGGTAGTATAGTAGACTCTCGTTATATTGCTGCGAACGGGGTTTTTTAATGCCCTATTTATATTGCCAATACACCTTTTCTATAAAATTCAGTCTCGACCGATTACTTTCCTGAACGTTTGATCGTATAAAAAAGCAATAGCTGCTATAAACTGTCTCGTTTTCATGAACACGTGGTTGCACGAAACGCGGACGAGCGTGCCTTGAAGGAGAACGGGAGAAGGTACGAATCATGAGTTCGCAATCCATAGCGTTCTCAAGAGAGGCACTTGAACGAAGAGAGAAGCAATGATCTAGCTCAAGGGAAATAACATATTTATGGGCTGTCAATGGCACTTCTCTTTGGCACTATGACTTCGGCTACTTTGATCTCTACCGCGCATTAAGGAAAGTGAGAAGTCAAAGGGGGTTTGCAAAAACATGAGAGTGAATCCGTAAGGTAGAATGGGTATAACTCGGTTTTCTTTGACTACTTAAAATGTGTTCGAATTTTAATCTGTCATTTATTATAGGTGATCAATTGAATTACCATTATAAATATTATATTATCCCATTAGTGATGTCGATAGTAAATAAAAAGGAGAAGATTTTTTTGGAAACGAATAGGGTTGTAAAAAAACGAAAGATTGAAAACGGAATGTTTGAAAGTAATCGTAAATAATAATTCTTTTACTCCTGTTGATTGATTCGGACAACGACATTACTTATGAGACAATTTTATAATTTATTAGGAATTGAATGCAATTATAATTAATAAATAATAAGTTTAAATCCGACAATAAAGCCTGTTATCAATAACGGTAATGAAAATTGTATCAATTATTTTCAATATACAGTCAGTCTGCATATAATCATTTTCTCATAAAAAGACTTCATAAAGCTATTATTAAATTTAACGTAGGATCATGTTGATTTAAATTTTAATATTGTACGAAAAATTCTTTTATTGAGATAAAATTGAAACCACAAATTTCATTACAGTATATTGATTTAAAGCATCGCATTCATATAGTCTGACGAACCGTTTACTTGTATCACTTAAATACGCGGTGAAAGTAACTCATACGCTCCAAGCATTCATTTACCAGAGAGAGGTTCAGTAACACGTTTTGATTTTTATATAACTCTGTACAATATTTTATTGGACCAGTCTTGAAATTTTTGATTATTTAGTTAAGGATTCTTTTACCCTTAAAGGAGAAACAACCCCTTTTATTTATGCACTTGTAACTCGTAAACTACAAAAGATATGGAAAATGCATTTGCATTAATTTTATTCTGTTTTTTAAGAACTATGTATCCGTGAGAACAAATTTTCCAAAACTTAATCTTTTTACGAAAATGAGATTTACTTCCCTCTCTCTTTTGGAAAATTTTTTATTTTATTTTAGTTGGATGAATACGTCTAATTATTTAATAATTGATAGTTCCTGGATAACTAACATTTGCAATGTTATTAATTTTGTATATTTCTAATCTAACCCTTAGATAAGGGACATTTTTTTTTTTTTACTTACTGATTTACTGGCTGGTAGATGAACACCAAAAGCAACTTGTACATACCTGCAATGATAAAATTGCAATTATAAATTATGTGTAATTTACAAATTCTAAAAAACAATTAGTTTATCTTAAATAAATATAAACTTAATCATAATAGGTACTCTAACGTGCTATACTATTTCGTTTTCAATTGAAAAATATATTTCTGGATAAACGTAGCGATGAAGGGATTGAAAATAGAAGCAGAACGTGATGCGATACAAAGCGTATTGGGGATAAAAGAATGTATTGAAGAAAACAGTTTGTTACAACATCAATTACATGTGGCTCAATACGTGTCTGAAGTTACAGTTGAAAAGTTTCCTACCTTTTCTACCTTTTATTTCTCTCGACATATACTTTTAAGGTAATAATTTTTATATTTATATTTATCTATTAAAAATAATATTTTATTATTATTTTAAATTGACTGCTGGAAATAGCAGTTATTCCATAAACCGAACAATAATAAATGATTAAAAAATTGTTTAATAGATGCGCTTAATAAATAAATGTAGTGCAAAAATTTTCAATTGAATTATGACACAATAGCTGCATTGAATTATAGACTCATTTATATCTCTTTCCTTTTGAATTATTTTTCATGCGTTTGTCATCTATAATAATTCATTTTAATCGATAACACATGACCATAAATACAAACTTATAGCTAATAGAACAATGAAACAGGCAGAAAATTTATATGAATTTTTTTTTTATTTGAAACTTATACCTATTCGACGCTTATTAACAATTGCAATTACCGCAGGAAACGTTGCGTGTAAAGTGTGCATAGAAACGAAAATTAAAAATTTAATGTGCAATATTTCATTTCTACATTACAAGCGGAAATTAAAGTGGAACAAAACTATATACCATAATGCTAATGATAGACATTAATTTTAATTATTTATGACAAAGTCTACAACATTTATTTAGAAATGTTTTTATAAATAATACTAGATATTATACCTCGATTGAAGTTAAATATCTTGAAAAAATATTAATATTAATATAATATTTTGAGAATTCCTATTTTCCACAGGGAAACCTGATTTGATCGCTAGTGTAGATATTTGAAAAACCCATAATGCAGTACAATTAACTTATACTTTTTGAAAGTCTAAGCTTCAGAATCTAGGATGAAAGCGATCAAATAAGTAGTAAGAAGACGGGAGGTGAAGTGGAAAGCGCGAAGAGGCGGTAAATGGGGACGGAGAAAGTTGCGAGGGGATGACAGGTAAGGGTGCCTGTCAACGCAGGAAAATATCTCAAGTGTGCCTGTTGCCATAAATGCAAATAGGGCGCTCGTTGTCCTCTTATCACTCGGATAAAAATTGGAATTTTTATGCAAAAGAAAATAACTTTTATGACTGAATGATTTAAATTCAACGAAGGCTTAGATTACTTGGAAAGAAATTAATATAGTATGTCCATCTAAATTATGTTTAGGTACCTTAATCTTCAAAAATGTTCAAAATAATACATTTCTGCATAACCTATATATGCTTTAGGGTGTAGATGGTCAATAGTTTAGAAGATGTTTAATATTAAAGTTTTGCTAAGGTTTATGTACTCTATAGTAACAGCTGCTATCAAGTAAAAGAGCGTGGAACAGTAGGTGCGGTGGTAGCTTACTACAGGGAGTTACTTTTTGTGAAACACTTTCAGGAAAATTACTTCCCGAAGTTTTTATTTGTTTACAACAGACGTTCTTGGACATTAGGTTCAGCAAAGAGAAGCAAATCTATAATAATCATCCAACTACATAGGTACTTCATAATTTATAATCCTAACTGAAAAAACGAATTTTTTTTTAAACCATGGACGATATATAGTAAAATGTTGTTAAAAATCTCTGGTTATTTCGAACATTTTCAAAAGAGATATTCTCTATAAGCCTAACATCATCGATTTTGATTTCATGTGAACTTTCATCTATCTTTCTCTCCCTTTACAGATCTATCGTACTATCACCTTTCTCTCGTTCACTGGTTTCCTTTTTCCCTCATAGCCTCTAGGATTTCTTTCATCGAAGATTAAAGATTCCTGACCCGAATCCCACGGCAAAGGATTATACGAAAGATATTACCGTCATCGTCCGTTTTTTTTTGCTCTTCTTGTCACCTCCCTTTTTTTACATCCACTCCCTTTGCGTTTTTCATCGACGATGCTAAATAAACAATCAAGTGATGTATGACCGAGTTTCAACCAATGGAGCTGCATTATGTTACACATATACTACATAAGATAATATTGTATTATATATTGCATAAAAAGGGTTATGTCTTTAGTCTTTAGGTCAAGGAAATTATTTAATTTAATTGTTAATTTTGTTTGGATCAGGTCTAAAATTTTGTCAGTTACCAAAGTAAGCTAAATAACATTCTAAGAAAACAAAGTTGTTAGGAAAGTATTACTCCTTGTTTTCAAATAATTTGATTTAAAAATATATTATAAAACAGTTGATTTTCTGGTAGTATGTTAAAATGATATGCGTTGGGCTTGAACATCTGTTTACACGTTCAGTTATTTGCGCCAACTTCATGCAAATTATCTAACAGAATAAATTTTATTCAAGGCAAACTTTTTGGTTTCGAACTTCAAATTTCAATTCACGTATAACGATCTACTCGCACAAATTCGATTGCAGAAGTCAATTTATGCAAATTGCACGAGCGTGTAAACCTAGTTTCGCACAGTTTGAATCTACATTGTGAGGTATTATTTTATTCCTTTATCAATGAGAGAATTAGAAAGAGCTTTATATCAATAAGTAAATAGCAAGTCATTTTAGAACTATCGTGTGTCATCTGTATGTACAATTAATTCTTAATTAATTAATTAATTCCTAAATGTAATTTCTATTGTATGAATGATAAGATGAAATTCATAAACTAGACTATGAAATTCATAAATTAGAAATTATTTATTCTTTCAAAAATCTCTGCCTTTCCCTTCATTATTTGATAGACATTTTGTATTCTCTGATCTAATTCGTCTACGTCGTTTTATCAGCAAAGAATACACCATGCTCTTAAGAAATTCCTCTAAAAAAAGAGAACTCAGGGGATTTAAATGAGGAGATCGAAGGAGCCATCAGACTGGTTTACTTCGTTCAATCCATCTTTCTACGAAGATCCTATCTAAATGTTGTCGAGTGCTGAGTGCAAAATGAGCTGGAGTTCCATCGTGCACAAACCACAGTTCGAATTCTTAGTCTTTCATCAAGAAGCATTATATTAACCTATTTGTCCAAAAATTATGATAATATCAAGGATTGAAAGCAGTAGTAATATCTATTGAAAAGATTTAAGTAGATTTACTATAATTTTTTTTAATTTTACCATGTCTTGTATTAGTTGCTCTTATTAGTTTCTTTAAAATCATAAATTAATATTTGAAGAATATTTCTATTAACAAATATGTTAATTATAATTATTTCATTTCTTCAATTTGATATCAAAGAGCTTCATATATTGGAAGAATAATTTTTAGAGAAACAGTGTGAGATTTAGAAAATGAAAATAATATAAAATATAAAATTAAACCAAAATTGGGGCTCTCTCCAGGGTCCGCCGTTCGAGGGTTAAAATGTTTGCTGATTATTCTTATCACACTACTGAAACATCGTTTTAACTCTTCCTAACTGTTCACTGATCGTGAGGATGTGTAACTAACAACTGTCTAGTGAAGCATGGCGATAATCCTGTGTTATGAAACGTGTGTTTAACTGAACAGAAGGACAGATAATCATGTCACTCAAAGGTACTAGAAGCGAGATCATTTGACTCTAAACAAACCAGGGAACTGTGTTTATAACTTGGAGTAAACTTTCATTTTACACGTGCTTTCGGCAGACCAGATTTATTTTATGAAAATAAAATGACAACTGGAAGGATATCTAAAGACTTTAGTGCGCCACTCAAAGTGTTAAAGTACTAAACCCTTTTTGTTCTGAAAACCCTGTATATCCGATATAGATATTTCAAAAAAATCGATATTCAATATGTGTGTGTTATTAAGACACGAGTACCTGTGGATTCAGGTCGTACCCCTGAAAGCTTTTATACCAGCGATTCCGATAAAAATGAAGTACCTGCTATGAAATGTGCTATGGAAAATATAAATTTTATATAGTAATATTTAAATCGTAGTTTGTAACGATTTAAAAAGATAGTAATAAGATAGTATACATTCTGTCCCTATATAACAATGTTTAAACATCAGGAAGTTTAGATGCAAGTTTATTTACTTATCAAAAGCGGTTAAATGTCGTCGAAGTTTGGGGACGATTTCCAATGGAAACGAGAGAATTTGATAGAAAAAATCAATTGGTTTTCAATTATTTTCAATTTCACACGTCTCCCCAATTGAAATCGATTTCGTTGAAATGAAACTTCTTTTCAGAGGAACAGATCGTTGCTGATCAGACGTTAATTAAAATCGAATTTTACTATCACCGATTCTGATGAGGTTTTATCCAATTTGTTCGATTAAACTTCCATTTATACACAACCGTACCATCAAGGTGGTTTCTCTCTCTTCGCGCCCGATTTCCTTATTTTTCCTAAAAATTGATAAAACCATCGAATATTCTACATTTTTTAACAATTTCAATGCAGATGAAATGAAAACTTGAAACTCCTATATTTTCATATAGGCTACAAATACATCAAACTATATAAAATCTCAGATGGACAGAATAATAATAATCAACTTCAAATAAAATGACCTAATTTTCGTTTGTAAATCTTCAAACAACCGAAAATATAAAGGAGTTCACGGGGTAGGTAATAGATTCTCCTTTAACCCATTTGAAAATCGCTATAAACAATACTGTGCACACTGTTCGTTTATTCAACAAATTCTGTTTGCAGGTGAAATTTCAGCTCGGTGTTCCCGGCTAGGAGGAACAAAAAGTTCGAAATTGTGCCGTCCGCTAGAAATTGAAAGAGTACCAGCCGGCAGAGAGTTTCTTTCTCCATGGGGAAACTCCTTTTATCCGCAGTTCGTGTACCTTTTAAACTCTAACGTGGATTTTTCTAGAAGAGCAACCGCAATCGTTCGCGTTTTACCAAATGAAGTATCCACGGGAAGTACTGAAAGTTAAAATGCATCTGAGTGTGAAACGAGGAATCGTGCAATGGCGTAGGGCAAATAAAAGTGTCGACATAGCGAGACTTTATTGCTGGCACGCCACTGCTTCGAAGCTCGTTTAGTCAATTCAGCATTAATGTCCGCGATGTAAATCGAGCCCGTGGCGTTCCTTTTTCCTTTCTCCCCCCTTTCCTTTTCTTTTTCCTTTATCGTCTCCTTTAGATCGTTATGCTTACGTTATACCGAGAACGTTCTTCTACTATCCCCGCTGTATTTCTATGTGCACTTCTTTCCTAGGAAGTCAGCCGTGAATAATGGCGATTTTATTGTGACGGAGGACCGTTCTTTTACCCTCTGTTCAAAATACTCGAATACATTTCCTGTCAGCTTAACTCGGATTCTAGTTGTACCCCTTTTGTGTTAACGTGTTACGTATAACTCTGTCTATTTTTCTTTTCTCCACTTGTCGCTGAAATTATGGACGATGCGGAGAAAAATTTTTATTTTTCAATTGAAATAAGAAATAACTCTTTGAAACAATAGTTACTTATAGAAGAAACTGTTTGAAGTAATGGTTAATAATACAGTATATATAATATTGTTATCTGAAAAGATTGAAAGTATTGCGACATTTAAAATAATAGCAATTTTTATTTTTATTTTTATTTTTAATAAAAAGATATAGGAAAGGAACAAAGTTTAATGACACTACCAATACATTATTTGAAAATGTATAATACTATTTGTGTTAACACAATAACAATTTTAGCCCTAATGTGATTATCCACTATCCTACATTTACATGATAATATGTTTCTTTTCCATTTTCTTCTCTCCACTTTCCTATTTATCTCTCCTGAGCAAAAGGTTTCCTCCTTTTCTATTATTTCGATCCCTTTCTTTTATTTCCACTTCCAGCGGTTCACTTCTGTGCGAAGACATAATGAAATTTTTTCTACTTTCTTCTTCTGTCTCATTTCACCACTTTCTTTCAATCTCGTTTCCTTTTCCCCTTTTACCACACTTTTTACAATGTACTAGTATTTTTTTAGAAAAATTCATATCGCGTTATGATTCTTTTCAACCTCGATCTTTACCTCTGTACTTACTTACATCAACGGATTTTTATTTTACAATTGTTATTATTAAGTCAAACAAGTTTATTTTCTCGTTTTATCATTTTATACTGCATATTATTTTCTTATTCCAAATTTTATATCATTCTCCAGTGTACGAAACACTAAATACGCCATTAGATTAAATTGATAAAGAATTTAAAAGTTCATATTTGAATAATTTTAATTTCGTTTAAAAATTGATAGATCTAACTTTAGTTCAAATATTATTACACACATTTCGTAGGTTTGCTATTCAATAGTTAATCATTTTTGTGATTTAAAATGTGATTAAAAATTTATTGAATAAATAATATGCTCTATTGAATATTTACAACAGGTTGATAACGATTGTCTGGAAAGGTACATTTAAATTAAGGAAGAAGAGAAAGATGATCGTGTTAGTATCACCGATTCAAAACTGAATATTCTCTAATATCGCGCGACAATTTATGTCCGTGATAAGAGATCGTACAGGAGATTGCAGAATATGTCCAGCTGGGCTTATTACTTGCACCTGCACGCGCACGTGAAGGGCCATACATGTGGCTTCGCAACATGCTGCATGTGCTCGAAGGTACATGTTACACACATTTACGCACTACCACGAGTGACAGTGTGCGGTTAGCTACATACGTCATGGTTATCGGAATGAGCCACCGCGGAATAAAGCATTCCGGTTTTTAGGTATTGTTTCATACTACGAAACGCAGCCTCGCCATCGGCCATTCATTTTTGTTCTCGTTGTTGCTAAATTATCGCTAACTCGATACGTTTATATTGATGTCTAAATCATATACAAAGATACTATTCAAATTTTTACCGACAAGATCGTTTCTATTTTGTTATAAAATGAGAAGTATAAATAAAAATTTTCAGATAACGAAACTGGGTCTTTGTTAACCTAATGTATAATTTTAGAGTTCAAATCTAATTTTTAAACTTTATAATTTATAATAATTGAGAAATAGTACTGATTTATTTCTTAATTTTAATTTGTAAATTATTTTTCTAATTAAAATTTTTGATATTGATATTGTTAGTTTGTTTTGTAATTAAGTACAGATTTATAAAGCAATTATAAAAATTTCGAAAATTTAGATTTCAACTTTCATTCTGAACAAAGTATTCACAAGTACATTAATTTTAACACATTTGCTCAATTCCTACATTGTTAGATTTCTTTCGAAGAAACTGATTTTTCTCAACTACTGCATTCTTAGAAACTTTAATTTACTCTCTGAAGCTTTCCACGAAGTATTGATTACTTTATAAATTGGAAATTCTCACCCTATTTTAAAAATACCACAGAGTATCTTACACCACTTTGTGTTTAAATGAAAATAACTAACAATTTTCAAAGAAACAATATTGCATTGTATTGCAATAATTTTATTCTTTCAAAATGTCATTAATGAAATCCATCAGGATCATGTACAAAACTTGAAAATAAAAACATGCATATGTAAATATTTCGATCAATTGTAATATTTTCAAAATATAAATCTTGCATTCTACAACCGATTATCATCAAAGCAACTGATAAAATCAAGCTCCACTCTGTTTAAAGTAGAAATTCATGCAAATACATAGCGAAACTTTTTATCGCACGAAACGATTTACTTTATTTCCTAACTTCTCAAAAGCTTATCAGCTATATCTACGTAATGGCACTGGTGATTTCATATCTCTGCGAACGAAATACAGTATCTATATCCCTATCTTTTATTTTCGTCATCTACCTATACGCTTTGTATCATCCAATGTTTATGAATGATTGTTGAGAAACGAAACACGAACTTTATGCCAACATGTGTAGAAACATTTCAAATAAAAAATATAACATCCCATACTGTGCTAAAAAGCAAAGTAATGTTTATCCAGTAGCATAGAGAAATATTTGAACTCTCAAATAAACGAATACCTATGTTAAAACACGTAGACATTTTCATTAAATTTTAAATTTCATACAAGTGCCATTTTGCTGTACTTTTATGCCATGAAATTGTGTCAAACTTTTGATATTTCGACCAACCTAAAATTGTGTTTTACAATTTTTTAATAATGTGAGTATGAATTCTTTTACAAAAGTATTCGAACCTTTTCAATTGTAACTCTTAAAGTGTCAAGAATTTAATGATGGGAACTATTTTCTTATAACAGTCTTTGACAAAGTTCGAAGGTAATATCTTTTTCAAACGCTTTCCTGACCATTTCGGCAAGTTTCGGAGTCGATGTACCAAGGTTCTTTTTTATTGCAAGAATAATAGTATTTTCTTCTCAACGAGTCAAGTTACTTGGACGATCTTTACCAACTTCATTTACAAGAGACCCCTCTACCTTTCTACTTTTTTATAATACAGTGAATGGTAGATGTATTTTTACTAACGAGGTTGGCTATCTCTTTAGAAGGTTCTTCCTTCTTTATAAACTTTTAATATTAATTCTCATTCTAATTTCCGTCTATTCATGAGTTCTACACTTCGATAATTACATGTATAATTTTTTAATATCATTTAACATAATTGAAGTTATAACTTCAGTACAGAACCAGAGCCGTCTTAAGAGCACTGTAGGCCCAGGGCAAAACAAAACAATGGACCCTGTCTACCTCTGGGAATAAATATGCAAATGACCAATAAAATTAACATAATTAACGCGAACTTTTAAAGAATGTAACATAAGCTTTAGAAAGCACAAATAAATATCTTTTTTATTTCGGGGTCCCTGGCGACTGCCCAACGTGTCCATGCCTTAAGACGGTACTGTACAGAACAAGTCCGCCAATTAATATTCGAAAAAGCATTCTTTTATTTTTCTATTTTATTTCAATATAAAAACCATAATGTATCGAATAATACATCTAATGTTAATAGAAAATTATCTCACTTCATCAATTTTTCATCAATACGATTCGGATTGCCGGAAAATCCTTGTCAGATTTTTCCAAATAACATAAATAGCTTCGGAAGAAAAATCCGAATGATCGAAGTAAGAAAGTTTCTTCGTTCGTAAAACACAATCTCCCACACGCACGCACTTTTATTCTCGAATCGAAGCTCTATCTAATATCAAGTTTTTCTCCAGCTCTTATTTGCCGAAGGCCTGCTGGAAACGAGCGAAAAGGACGGCGAAGGAAGCATCGTCGAAAGGGCGCAATATCATTTTGTCTCCCTTCAATTCTGGCTTGTATCACCTGGCGTCACCCTTGCCAACCTAACACCACCGGCGAACATCTCCTCGATTTCGGTCAAGGCATCAAACAAGTCCCTAGAGAAGTAGCAAGTCCTGAACAAAGCACGATCCTTTCACCGTGAAATTTCTTTTATCCTCCTTCCCCGTATATCCTTCCCGCTCGTCGAACACATTCCTTTTACGTGCCTTTTCGCTTCAAGCGATTCATTTCTGATCGGATCTGGCTACACCACACGATTATTACATGTCGGATACGAGATGATTTTGCACCTCCATAAGAGCAGGATTGGGATCGAGATCAATGTGTATTTATAAATCTAAGTCAGATTTCGGTTCAGAAGGTTTCAATGCTATTTATAAAAATTGTTATTGTTTCGCT